AATAATAATATTTTAAACTAACTGTTGCCCGCGACTTCGTACACGATAAAAGCCTATAATATGCCCGTCTATGTCAGCTATCCTTCAGTGAAAGTCCGAAGATTACCCGAAACAAACACGGCTTGCGGTCAGACAGACAGACAATAAATTTTCAAATTCGATTTTCGTTAACTGCAATGCAAATATGTCATCTTTCCGAAATCTCGAATTTTTCTTTTCATGTTACAAACAGACACTCCAATTTTAATATACATGTATAGATGTGACAGTTTCAATAAATGTACTACCGATCCAAGGCAGGTAAAGGGAACTTGATTAAATTTGGCACACATATAAGAGACCTAGTAATAATATAATAATAATAATAACTTTTATTTCAAGCGTACAATCAGCTCATAAACTTGTTAGTAAGTTTCTTAAATTTTGTTAGTGACAAAACAGAATAGATACATTTTTTTTACACTTAAAAATTCAGAGAACAGAGTGCACTTTAGACAGCTGTTAATAATAATAATAATATAATAATAATACACATTTAATCAGTTCCAAAAACAAACTGCAACACAATACAACAATACACTTGAACAAAAAAAATACAAACGAGAAAAACGAAAACCAATCATTAACAATCAAATCAGTTAAGGTATCGACAGTCAGTCCTGCAGACTCTCATGTGGAGAATGATATTGGAGCTGTTGATATTGGAGAATTATATATCAATTACTGGTACACTTACCTTAGGTTGGAAGATAAAGGCGAGTTACCTTTTTTTTGATTCCGCAATGATGTGGGCAAAAGAACGTGTATGTGACGATGCAGGAGACGCACATGTGGGGGAAATATCCTCTTTATGTGCGTATCCTCCTTCGTCGATCAAGGGTAGGAAATGAATCCGCTATTGGGAATGTATATGCAGCGGTCGCTTTGCCATTTCGGTGGATGCAGGTGGCCGCTTGCTCGTTTGCCAGCTTATGTTATAAAAAAAATGAGCATAAATCGAAATTTAAATAACATACACAAAATACAACCTAATAAGAAAACAAAATAAGAAAATCCCAGACTCGATATATAAAACGGTTAAAGACCGTAATATAATCTAAGCTATCGAAGCTTTAGGTCAATATTTGATAGTCTAGTCTAGACAAACGTCGCGACAACTTGCACCATAAATGGTTGGGGGGTTAAAACCCCACCCTCCCCCCATGAACTAGAAAACAGATAACAATTAAAACTTAGGTCTTGTTTCATATTTAACTACGGTGTAGAGACTAAAATCGCTATTCAATAAATTAAATCGATTTCTTGAAAATCAATACGACAAATGGAAATCTGTGATCTCTATCTACCCTTTTTAATTACAAGCTTGAGTCATAAATATCATCAACCAACCAACTTTCATTGAGTTCCAATCAGCCGTTTAGGTTACAAACTTTAACAAACATAACTAAACTTTCGTATTTATAAATAGTTACTAGCTTTCGCCTGCGACTCCGTCCGCGTGGAATAAAAAAAGTGAGTAGCTTATGTATTCTTCCAGACTATCATCTACATCTGTACCAAATTTTATCCAAATCCATTCAGCCGTTTAGCCTACAAACTCCAACAAACATCCATCCATCTAAACTTTCGCATTTATAATATTACTCGTAATATGATTAGTAAGATTATCAGCCTTTATATTAAAAAAATATAAAAGCTATGCTACAATTGCGTTAAAAATGAAGATACCAGTTTTTTATAACAGTAACACGATTATTTACTTAAAATAAACGTTACTGCAATATACACCGTATTTTATAGCTTTTAAGACTATTGTCGCTTAACTGTGTAATCGAAATGTAGGAACAAACGGTTAATTGCTAATAGTATTACAATGACACTAACAGAATAAGGACATGTTCAAACTAAATTGAACCTACGAGAGTTTCGTGAATCAAGATTTTATGGTAATCGTATTAAATGAATGTAATGCAGATTTGGTTAATTTTGAACGCTCTATTTTAATGGTATCATAAAAACTTATTATAACAATAACTTCGTATAATGGATACATAAATAGCAAATCTTATAGAAATAGAAATAGATATAATTTTATTGAAAAATAACAGATTAACAATTAACAACAGTTATAACCAATTAAAAAATAAATACAAATTGTGGTTAAAATACGATTAATCTGGTGATGCCTACACTAGGCAAGGCAGGCATTGCCTGTATTGCCTAGTGTAGGCATCACCAGAATGCCTATCACAATTATGTTACAAATGCGAAAGTTTAGATGGATAGATGTTTGTTAGCTTGTAGCCTACACTGCTGAACGGATTTCGATGAAATCTGGTACAGATTTAGAGGATAGTCTGGAAGAACACATAGACTACTCACTTTTATTTTTTTAATCCCACGAGGACGGAGTCGCGGGCGAAAGCTAGATAATATTATGAATGCGAAAGTTTGTTAAAGATGGATGTATGCTTGTCAGCTTGCAGTCTAAACGGCTAATAGGATATCGATGAAATTTGGCATAGATTTAGAGGATAGTCTGGTAGGACACTTAGGCTTACTTTTGTTTATTTTGTGATTATTTGGGATACGAAAGTAAGTAAAAGAGAGACCTGAGAGAGGCCCGTTTAGACAACCGCCCAGGGCACTGGACCAGGGGTCTAATCAATATGGGGCGCACCAGTATTTACATTATGCGTAATTCGTTCATGAACGTAGAACAGAGCAGATTTTATATCTCAAATAAAATTGAGCTTTATACAGTTGGCAGTAAGTTTTATTTTACTTTTCACGTCTTTTGTTATCAAGAGCTAAAGTTAAAAAATGTGGAAAGTGAAATTAAACCTTATTTCAATTGAATAGAATTCAATTTGATTTGCGATAAAATCAGCTCTACGTTACGGTTATGTAGTCCTTCAAATTCATAGTTGAAGTTCTCGTCATATGCAATTTATTTTTAAATTATTTGTTTTCAATAGCCTTGTTATATTTAAATCCAAGCGGGACCTGTATATTTGAAATATTCGATACCCAAACAATTGGGTCACGAATTCTGTTACGAAGTAATGACGTCACCGATCAATGAATGTTATTTATTGTATTACTATCTTTCGCCAGCGACACCGTCCGCGAAGAATGAAAAAAAAACAAAAGTAGCCTATGCGTTCTTCCATACTATCCTCTACATCTATGCCAAATTTCATAGCTATCCGTTCAGCCGTTTAGGCTACAAACTTTAACAAACATCCATCCATCTGATCTTTCGTATTTATAATATTAGTATGAAGTATGATAACCCAGTTACGAATATTTTGTACACGAAGATATTTATATCACATTTTGTGTTATAGAATTTATAGTTTTTTGTGCATAGTACCTATAAAAAAGGTATATATTTCAAATCCCTTATACTTTATTCTCCTTTCGCGATTCGAGAACTTTCTGGAAACTTCTCGACAAACTTGCCCAAGAGGATTACAGTCGGAGGTGTGTACGCTTTCACTAATAAATCCGTGTGATCCGAGCCAATACGACGCTATTCCGTATTCACGATTGTACAACTCGAGCGGGAAATCTCTTGAAAAACTTTCACATTGAAGTGAATAGTTTTATGCCTGTTTTAGCTACATTGATTGCATCTGACTTTAGTTCATTCTTTTTTATGAGAAAGCTATCTATCTATACGCAATGTGATAAAGAGGAAAGATTTTTTTTATTTATTTTTGTATGTATTGGCATAACTCAACTACTACTTGGCTGATTTAAAATAATTGTTTACCATTTAAAAGGTATGTTACGATTGAGTAACATATTTTTTACCTTTTTTAATTCCATGCAGACGAAGTCGCTAGCATCAGCTAGTGTATATTTTATGTTTTATTTCTCTAGTAACGAAATGTGAACCACGTTGACGTGACCTTGAGAACAGATTTACTACCGCACTAGCTTTTGTCTGTCTGTCTGCAAGCCGAGTTGTTCCGGACAATCTGCGAAACGACTGGGCCGATTACGACTGGACTTTCACTAAAAGGTAGATGACATAGACGGGCATGTGTGCTTTTTTATATTTTTTATCTTATGTTGCAGGCAACAGCCAGTATCAAATAATTGTGTTTTTTAATAAATAAATGCAAATGTATACGAATAAAAGATAATTGGAAATACATATTTATTTACGTTCCCAGTCTAATACATTGCATAAGTTTGCCGTATAATATATCACTAGGGAATTGCTGCGACGTGAATTGTTAGCAATTCCGATACGCTTCGGTCTCGAGAGGTTATTATTTGTCATGGTTCGTAGGTTGCATTTGTTTTGCAAACTTTTACAAGTCATATTAATTTTCGTATTTTGTTTGCGAATATACTATACTAGTTTTCACCCGGGACTTCTTTCGCGTGGAAATTTAAAAAAGTGACTATGGCTTTTTCTAGAGTATCCTCTACGTCTATACAAAATTCATCGCGATCCGTTCTGCCGTTAAGGCTACAAACTCTAACTAAACTTTCGTTTTTATGATTATTTTAGACAAGCTGTTGCGTGATTTTGTCCACGTCTAATTTAAATATATATCCTAGATAACGAAGCTTTCTAATGGTGAAATAATATTTGAAAATGTCCAGTAGTTTTTGAGTTATTTCAACACATACGAAGATACAAATCTTTCCTCCTTATATCAAGTATAGAAGTATATTTATAGATTAGGAAAGCGTCATATAGAACACGTTTTAATTATCAGTGTAAAAGTTTTCAGACTAAACGGCTAAACGGATCACGACGAAATTGGCATAGACGTAGATATAATCTGTGAGAACACATAGACGACTAATTAAGATTTTTTAAATTCCGCGCGTACGGAGTCACGGGTGAAATCTGTATATCATAATGGAATCTTACATACAAATATGACAACACCGCTGTAAACACTGTAAAATTGATCATAATTCATCCTTGCATCTTAATTTCAATCTTAATTAAACGACAAACTGTATTGTTTCAGATGAACAATGAGTTAGAAGGAGTAATATGAGTTCAGAGGACGACAGCGCTCCGTGACGTCATGGCGGTGGCATTCGTCATACTCGCGCTCCTCGCTCAAGCTGTGAGTAAACTCGTGTACATTAAAGTTTGATAAATTATGTCATGAAATTGGATTAAGGTTGTCGCACATTCCTCCAGTTACCCGCCCGACACTGCTCCGTTTGTGAATCAATCCATTACTGTGGATTATTTCGGATTTCATAATTTTCATTTAATTTTTGAATATCGTTTTGTACGTACAAAGAAATTTAATAACGTAAAAGGCATTAAATATCTGTACGGTTATTATAATGTTGTATAGATTCGAAATAAAAATTATCTATAACTCATTACCAAGCAAAAAATGACATTCAAAATGTCAGATAAAAATTATGAATTTTAGACCACATTGTGACGATGCGTAAGGTAACAGCTGCGGTAAACGCAAGACGAATGCGGGGTGATCGAGGAGTGAAGAAATGCGCGACAACCTTTAGCCCCCCTTAGTGTCCAAATAAAATAACCACCCACAATGCGGTACATAGTTTTACCCCAGTATCGTTAATCGTTGGTGGAATTTTAACCCAGTATCGTTAATCGTTAGTGGAGTTTTACCCCAGTATCGTTAATCGTTGGTGGAGTTTTACCCCAGTATCGTTAATCGTTAGTGGAGTTTTACCCCAGTATCGTTAATCGTTGGTGGAGTTTTACCCCAGTATCGTTAATCGTTTGTAGTTTTACCCCAGTATCGTTAATCGTTAGTGGATATATTTAATGTAAATACACTAAATTAAAATTTAAGTTACCATTGTATCATTCTGAAGTTTGGATTTTAGTTTCATTACCTCGATGTCAATATACTCGAGTTCTAATATTAAGATTTTATTATTAGCGTGGATTATCACAGAGGTTTATTTATAGAAAGTCATATTGTATCACACTTTTAATTATAGAAGAAACAGAGATAAGAATACATTTGTACTGTTACCAGTGTAAACCCAATCTTGAATGGTTTACAAATAGATTTCTATTTAATTACACTTGTATGGAAAATTTTCTTCATTTTCTCTCATTTATATTAATAAAACAAAAATAAACAGAAGTCATTTGTTTATTTGGATCACTCAACGCAAACGTACGCGAGTCATAGCGAAATATTGTTAAAGTTTACTAATTTGTTTTGTTATTAATATTAATTTAATAATGAGAACAATCTAGAATAAAGTTAAGGGCTATTTATAGATGTTTTTAGATTTCCTTTATCAGTATTTAACTAGTAGTGTACATATAACAGATTACAATGTATTGTGTATTCTTCTTCCTACTTCTTAGGAAGGACGACCCTGAATAACATTTTTAATGGCCGACTCTCTGCCTCCCTCTCGTTCTAACATGTTTCGTCAGAAACTCTTTGATGCAATCTTTTTTTCTTTATTACAAACTAGCTGTTTCTCACGAATTCGCCCGCACGAAATTTAAAATTGAAACCTATGTTACACAAAGATAAATTACCTTTCTAATGGTGAAAGAATTTATAAAATCGGCCCAATAGTTTTTAAGTTATTTTAATACATACAAAAATATAAATATTTCTTTATAACATTAGTATAGATATAAAAATAATAACATTACTAGTCACTTTAATAAAATCTTTTGATAAAAACTAACTAAATAAATGGTAATCGTAATTCTTAAGTACAGTCAGCTACTTAAATATGTATTCATTTACAAAACATCAGAAATATATATACCTTTTCAATTGCCAATACGTTTGTACGTCGTAACTATGCTTCCGAACTACATGACAAATGTATGAACATTTTTTTGAAACCGATAGCGTACACTAGTTTCTAGTTATATAAATGTGTTCGTATGCAGGTGACTGTACATTAACAATAAAGTCCCTTATACAAGGTAATATCCAAAACGTATACAAAGCATTTCTAGAACGTAATTACAAAATATTATGCTCATTTCAGCTCGTGTGGGATTTCACGCCCGCAAATGTTTGCCGGCTTCAAGCTCGAGGTTCGCTGATGCGAATTCTTGCTGAATTATTACTTATTATTGTAATATAATATTGCAGAATATGATACAGTTATTTAAAAAGTTATATCAGGTATTAAAAATAAATAAAGAAATAAGAAAATAGGTAAATAAGGAGTAAATGGTTAGAGTGGTGGCATGTTATGAGAAGGGATGAATCGCATGTAACAAGACAGACATAAGTTATGAATGTGTATGGGTACAGCGGTAGTGGTAGACATGGAAAGAGACGGATGGATTGCGTGAAAGGTGACATGATAAAGAAGGGAGTGATGACTGAGATGACGGATGATAGAGTGCTTTGGAGGACGAAAACCCGGCGCGCCGACCCTACAGGAGTAAGATAATGCAGGGGAGATGATATCAGGTTTTCCACGACTGAATGAAAATCATACTATTATTATAAATGCGAAAGTTTAGATGGATGAATGTTTCTTAGATTTGTAGAATAAACGGATCTCGTAAAATTTGGCATAGACGTTGGGGATAGTCGGGCAGAACACAAAGGGTACTCATTTTTGTTTTTTTAATTTCCACGCGGACGGAGTCGTATGTAATATTTTAAATTTCACGCGGTCAAAGTCCTGAAAAACAGGTCTCTTATAAAAAAAGTTAGTTCTTATTTGATTTACCCTGGAAGTGATAAATCTATACGAATTAAATAAAAAACACAAACATCACAACTGTTATTCTAAAATGTATAAAATCAAAAAGCGGAACAGACTCAAATTACTCGGAATCCTTTAGCAAACACTTCGCTAAACGAATTCCGTGCAATAAATCAACATTTGCCCGATAATTCTGCAACTCAGTGAACACGCCGGAGGCTAAAGAAAAAAACAAACGCCAATTGAGAAAACGAAGACGTATCGTTCGAGTTTACTTTGATTTAAATCTATTAATAACATTGTTTTGTTTGTACAAACTGTCTTATTTATTGACTAGCTGATGCTCGCGACTTCGTATTTCATTTATTGACTATGTTACTTACTAATAACGTAGCTTTTTAATGATGATGGAATATTTGAATTCGGCCGAGTAATTTTTCAGTTGTTTCAATTCATACAAAAATCCAAAAATCCAAACTTTCCCCTTTATAATATCAGTATAGACTAGCGATCTGCCCAGGTTTGGTCTGGTTGGCAAAAATGTGTCTCTTATCTTTTATGTCATGTCAACCTTTCTCATTGATTGAATATTGCAATAGCGAGGATAACATTATTTGTTTTCTAATGGTAAAAGATTTTTTAAAATAAAAAATCAAATCATTCCTCTTTATTTATTTTTACACTAGCTATTCCCGTGTGGTTTCATCTGCATGAAACTATGAAAATTTTATTTCTTTGTCTACATTTGTCAAATTATCAATTTAAAATGTCAAAATGACATGACATGATGACAAGCCTGGGTAATCTTACTGCCTTGATGTTGACAGCAACTTATAGTCTCTTTCCCCCATTAGGATTTTTATCCAAAATATTTACCCCTAATTTTAATGGCGTGAATAAATATAGCCTATAGCGTGACGTAAGTGTAGGGCTTTTTAAAAAAAGGATTATTCAAAAATATGGTGTAATTGTTGACATCTTAGGCAACAAAGAAGTGTGTGTTTACGCTTTATTATAATAGTATAGATTATTAAGTGACAAACGAGCAAGCAGCCACCTGAATCCGCCGAAATGGCGAAGCGACTACCCATAGACATCTCTAATTGTAGATGCGTTACCTTCCCTTAAACGAGTTCTCTTTATAATTCCTCTTTATAATCTTACTAATATTACAAAGTCGTAAGTTTAGACAGAGGGATGGATGTTAGAATGTATCCTCCAGAACTGCTTAATCACATTGAAATTTGAAACGGATGTAGAACATAGTATGGAAGGACACTAAGTTTTTTAGACAGCATTTACTAAGTTTTTTATTGCAGAGTCGGGGACAAAAGCTTGTATTAATATAGATATAAATCAGTAAACTTAAAATCTACATTTTTATGAGTAGTACTAAGAAGATTCATGTAAAAATAATTTTGTAGGAAGCAGTGCAGTTGGCGTTTATTCTAGAATATTCTTTCCCGATCTAGTATGAAAGAAATCTAATCAACTCACTAACTAAACGAGATATTGTTTAACATCCTGATTGGATTTTATCCAATAATCTTTTTATATAAAGTGTATGCAGATTACTTGAAGATTGAAAATAAACTTTATTCACAAGAGATTAGAACTGATAATACATTTTGTATTATTTTGTAATTACTAGAATATTCTGTTAGTGTCGTTTTAACAATAGTAAAATCTTGTCTTAGTAAACCAGACTGTATTTACAAAGTATTATGTTTTTAATTATTCTATCAGTCAAATGGTTATTTTTTTTTATATAATAACGTGACAAACGAGCAAGGGGCCTCCTGAATCCATCGAAATGGAAAGCTACCGCTGTCCATAAACATTCGCAATTGCAGATGTTGCCTATAATTTATTGACGGAGGAGGAGACGCACGTATAGAGGACATTTGCCCTTCCTATGCGTCTTCCCACCGTCAAATCCATTTTTCCTTCCCATCCTTTCCTCTAAGAAGGTGGTGGAAAGGGAAAGGGACTAAAATTAGGCCTCCAGCACCACACTCGTCATACGAAACGCGAAATTGCTTCCACTTTACGCCTGTTTTCTGTGTGGCCGTGGTATTACACCGGGCGAGCCGGCCCATTCGTGCTAAGATGTTAAAGCGGGCTCTACCACTGTTAATTAAAAGAAAATAATGTAAAGCGGTTAAACTTATTATGAACCTGCGGTTTTAATAATATATATATATTATCTTTATTAATTACGGAGCCCATAAGTACAGCGAAAAAAGGCTTCGAAAGGTAACTCAACACTATATAACACGTCAAACAAATATAAAATCTATCTATTTCTTTACTTACAATACTCGTATAGTGAGAAAAGAAATTGAATTTATATGCGTATTGTAATAACTCAAAAACTACTGGACCGATTTAAAAAATTCTTTCACCTATAAATAGCTACGTTATAACT